TTTCTCAGCTCCCATTGGCCATTTTCTGAGCAATACCTGGACCCTGCACCCCAATCCACTGACCCAGCACCCAAACCTTCTGCATTCTCCTCTCCGCCCCCCGCACCTCATGCCCCACGTCACAACTCCCTCCCAGACCACGCATCCCCTCCTACACTCCTCCCCCAGGCCAGAATCCTCTCCTGCCCCAATATCCCCTCCCAGACCCCGCACCCCATTGCTTTGCCCCATGTCACAACCCTCTCCTTCCCCCGAACTGCTTCTTAGACCCAAGCTCCCCTCTGCACCAGCCTCCCTCCCAGCTGCTGTACCCCCCTCTATAGAAAAGTGCAGCCCTTGGCCACTTACCAAAATCTCAGCGTGGGCCCCCCCATCACAAATTCTAGCCCACCCTGGCCTAGCGACAACTCCATGAGCTGCAGTTTGGGGGTCTGCATCGCGTGCACGCCTGTCCCGCCTGCCTACCGCCAGCCTTTCCACTGAGCCACGCCCTCGTGAGGAAGGCCCAAGGCGCCACGTCCCCCTAAATGCCGTGGGCCGGAGCCTCTGGAGGGCCCATGGGTGTTCGGCTGCGTTCTCTCAACCTTATATTTGTGTCTGATTCTTTCTTTCCAGGGACACTCCAGGAAGAAATTAGTAAGTTCATTTTTACTCCCTTCCCGTCTTTGTATCCTCTCCCTAACACTCAGCCTGGTGCACGTTCTCACCCGCTCTACGTATGCTCTTGGTTTCAGAGTGGAGAAAATTTCGCGGCTACGCAGGTAACCAACGCCGGTGTTTTATCACTGTCAAAATCCCAGCGTTCCCGAGACCTGACACTCTCTGTCCTCCTGCTGTCAAGTATCTGAGCTACCGAAGGAATGGGGCGAAGCTAAGGGTGGTAGAAACGTTCCCTTCCGTTATTGGTTCCAAAGGAGAGGTTCTTCCAAATACGCAAAGCTCAGCACATTTTCAAGGAAATGTATCTGCATGTCTTGAAACTTTTCATCTACGTCTACACTGTAGGCTTCTTGCGTAGCATCTACACTGCTCGTGCGTTCTTGCACAAGTACATTTCCAGTAAAGCGTCGGAATAGAGGGCTTCTTGCAGGGTGGACGGGCAAACGGGTTTCTTGTGCAAGAAACTCCGATGGCTAAAATGGCCATCAGAGCTTTCTTGCTCAAGAGAGTGTCCACATTGGCATGGATGCTCTTGCGCAAAAGCACATGGCCGTGTGGACGCAGTCTTGCACAAGAAGTTTTGCTCAAGAACTCTCGCACAAAACAGTCTTACGCAAGAAGCTTGCAGTGTAGACGTAGCCTTCATGTTTTTGTCAGAAAACTGAAAACCCGTCAATTACATTTCTTCCATGTTCTGGCCAAAAATATATGGCTGTGTCTAGACTGGCAAGTTTTTCCGCAAAATCATTTGATTTTGCGTAAAAACTTGCCAGCTGTCTACACTGGCCATTTGAATTTACGGAAAAGGACTGACGATCTCATGTAAGATCGTCCGTGATTTTCCGGAAAAACTATGCTGCTCCCGTTTGGGCAAAAGTCTTTTTCCGAAAGACTTTTGCCCAAAAGGGCCAGTGTA